CAGTTTTCCCATGGCTTTTTTGAGATTTGTTTAAAGACAATTTAACTCGAAATAACCGGGCTAATTTTTGTATTAAAAGCGTAATTTCACAACATCACCGGAATAATTTCTTGGTGTTTTCAAAAGATTTCTTTTTTTACATTTTACTGGCTTTACAATCCAGCAACTGGCCGGCGTGGTCCAGTGACAAGTGGTACTTTTCTCGTTCAGCTGATTGAGGGTTTTGAGTTTGTCACTGGGAAAACCGGTTCCTCTACTATTTCGCTCATTGTTTCGATGCAAATTGGTGTCAAAACAAGGCAAGGAGTGAAACTCGCCATTAACTTATTTGTATGCAACCGTTGAAAGAAAGAGCCATCGTTAGTCTAGTCAGCAAGTAGTCGAATGCTTTCGAGTTTCACAGGTGAGTGATTACAAGGGGATTTAACAGTCTGACAGACTTTTCCCTGTGAAATGGAATTCATCCTATAACTTTGATGGCAATGTCTAACATCCTGTTGACTCAGTTCCTCCGAGATTTCTGCCCTAAATCTTCTCGGGTTGGCTGTGCAGCCGCAAAAGACACATTCATCATCGGACGGTTAAACGAATAGTACCAGTGATCGGTACATAAATGCAGCTGATACTGATCGACTGCAAATCATCCAGAGAAGTGAGTTTATTAAATGAAGAATTGAAAACATACCGGTTGCGCATATGCAAGGCAAATCATGCATCCTGCGAAAACAGCAACTGCGAGCTTCATGTTTTCAAGTTCTGTGGCCTGAAATTTCCATAAATTATCGCCCAGTAAGGCCTTGCATAGAGTGCATTTGTTTTTCCGCGCGCACAGCTGCTTTACTTTTACTGTATTACTAAACCGCTGGTCATACTGACATTGATTTTTAGAAAACAAAGCTTAGCCGGCGCAGAAACTTTTTGACATGTTAGAAACTGCCAGAATTTGAACCCCGCCATGCCTCGACACTGTCTAATCCATTATCATTCTAATAAAACGAGGAGGTGATTGGGTCGGAATTTTGTGAAAAACTGGAAGTCTCTCAGTATTTGTGAGTGACTGAATGTTTTGGTTCTGATTAACACGAAAAGCTTTACGACGAGATGTGTTGCGGGAAGGGAAACTATTTGTATTTAGACAGCGATTCCAATACTGTCAAATTTAAAAAATTCAGGTTTGTCAAAGTGTCAAGATGATTTTCTACGTTACTTTATACTTGAAAGCTTGTTTCTAATCTTCGAAATATTTCTAGATCCTTCTAGGAGCTATTTCATCCAGTACCATGGAGCAAAGTTAAAACTAACGAAAGACTAACCCCGTTATAGTTTTCTAACCGCAAAAGTTTCTGTGTTCAAACCATTTCACTTAACCGTGATCGTCAGGGTAGTAAGTGTAACAAAATAAGGCCGCCTAAACAATCAATATAAGTATCTCATGTCAATGATGTTACTGGAATGCTCCCACACGCAACAGGCAGTTTTGCCAGGCCTTGCGGTCCTGAACTGCATGCCGCCAGTTATTACCCATCGCTTGTCCTATGTATTTTCAGGAAGTCGCCTGAACGGTTCCTCACGTATACCGCACACCGCTGTACGTCGATCACCGGCTGTCAGCAGTGCGAGCAAAATGAATATTATTTCCTCACGTGGCCACAGTAGCAACCAGCATGCCGCTCATCTGATGGGGAGTCTAACTGTTTATAATGGTGACTGAAAAATCGCTCCGGACATCCCGTGGTGGACTAATTTGCTGTATGTTTCTGGTCGGGCGGACTGCTGGATTCACGCGTTAAAAAGTTGCTGCGTGTGGCACCGGGTAATGGTTACTAAAAAAATCAGTAAATAGTGGATTTCTCCTCCCAAATCAGTCGCTTTTATGCGAGAATTGGATTAGCCTCTCGGTATTCTGTCTGAGTAACTATAATACGCATACCATTAAGCGAGAGAAACTGTTTACTCGCAAAAGAGTAATGTTTTACGCGAATTGCTATAGAGAGATGCCGTAAGCGGTTTAACTTTCATACGTCAACAAGAGACCGATGAGCGAATAAAGCGATTTAGCTAATAGCAAGAGCCGGGAAATGTCAGTACTGATGATGATGATGATGATGGTGATGATGAAGGTGGTGATGAATACGCTTATGATAATGATAACTGGTTGACTGTGATACTGATCATTTCATCATCTAC